TTATCCATATTTTTAATTAAATATTGTTTTTATTTTTAGTCTATATGTTTGTCGACATATTAAAGACTATAAGATATTGGTTTGTGGCGGAGACGGAACAGTTGGTTGGGTTAGCAATCATTTTATTTATTAAACTTTTAGCTATAATTTAAATCTGTAGTATTTTCGAAGAAATTCTACAGTAAAAGTAATCAAACAAATATAATAATAATTGTCCAAATTTTGCGTATATGTACTGTTCAGGTCCTGCAATGTCTGGATAATGTGGGTCAAGATTCGGAGTGTCAGTCGCCTCCGTGTGCTATCGTGCCGTTGGGAACGGGTAATGATTTGGCGCGTGTGCTTCGGTGGGGTCCGGGCTATACGGGTCAAGAGGACCCCATCTCTGTGCTCAAGGATGTGATCGATGCCGAAGAGATACGCTTAGATCGCTGGACAGTAGTGTTTCATTCCGATGAAGCGACCAAACAGACTGAGGAGAAACCGGGTCTTCCGGCCAACAGTTCCGGTTCCACATCCGAAGACAATACCGCCATCTTTGTTATGAACAACTATTTTGGACTCGGAATAGACGCCGATCTCTGCCTTAGTTTCCATAACGCGCGGGAAGAGAATCCCGATAAGTTTAACAGCAGGTAAATCAACAACATATAATAATGTCATATATTGTTTATTTTATATCAATTTTATAAATTCGCGTATATTTTAATAGAACTTATTATATATGCAATATATGCAACACTTTTTTGACAAAATATAAATAGTCAAAATGTTAAACTAACAATAAGTAATAATATAAATATTCTTAACAAAAAACATTTAAATAATTAGATATTTTTATCTAAAGCTATCTCATATTTTTTTATGATAGATTGCATAACAAAGGAGTGTATGTGAAGACTGCTCTCAAAAAGATGGTGAGTCGGAAGGTATGGAAAGACTTACATAAAGAGATACGACTAGAAGTGGACGGAAAAGTGGTTAATCTGCCTCCAGTTGAGGGCATAATCATTCTCAATATATTAAGGTATTGTATTATTTAAACAAATGATAATCTTTTAAATATATATATATTAAACGTGTTTTGATGGATCAGTTGGGGTTCCGGTGCCAACCCATGGGGTGTTGAAAAAGACGATCAATTCTCGCGGCCTAACCATTACGATGGTATGTTAGAAGTAGTGGGTGTTAATGGTGTTGTCCATATGGGCCAAATACAAA